TCCTGCTGTTTCTTCATATTTGTTTGGCTTTAGGATGCGTTTGGTTTTATCGAAAGAGGTGATATTGTAAAAGAGATATTCTTTCACTATAGTGAATTTAAGGGTGACTTAGAAACCTTGCAGCCTGGAGATGACGTGGAATTCACAATCAAGGACAGAAATGTAAGATAAGATAGTTGAATAACTTGATCTTTGGCCTTCTTTTAAGATAAGTAGTGAGTTAAAATTTTAGGAAACACTTAAAGTGACATGGTTCCCATCGCCCTCTCCACTCCCTTCTGATTTAGGGTAAAGAAGTTGCAACAGATGTCAGACTATTGCCTCAAGGAACAGTCATTTTTGAAGATATCAGCATTGAACATTTTGAAGGAACTGTAACCAAAGTTATCCCAAAAGTACCCAGTAAAAACCAGGTAAATAGTGTTTTTTCAGAAGAGTCATCTTATACCTCATCAGTAATAGAATAATATGGTGTGGTATGTAGAAGTTTTATTACTTTCAATTAATGTAATTTTGTGACAGTGGAGCAGTTAAGAGTATTTTATGTGTGTAATTAAACTATATGAGAAAGCATTGGTACATCCATGAATATGTTTTCCTTTCTTTTTTTTTTTTTTTTTAAACTGGGTGATATGGAGAAGGGGGCAAAAAAAAATACTGGTTAGATTGGGGAAAAATTCATGTGTGCGTGCATGCATCCCAGTTTGGTTTTTTTCCTGTTGTTGGTGGGTGGGGGTGGGGTGGGGGGAAGAGATGAGACCAGTGGTGTCATTGCTAAGGAAATGTAGAACATAAAAGACTGAAATTCTTTTCCTTAAATAAAATCTCTCAGTATCAGAGTGCAGGATATTAACTGCAGTATCATGATTTTATGGCTGTGTCTTGTGACCATAGGACACAAACCTTTCAAATTGGGCTTACGTTATCAACACCTTTTTTTCCTTTAGGGAGCTATCTGTTATAAAATGGGTTTGCTGTGTGTTCTTCTTGTTTGACTTAGAACTAGGAAGGGTGAGAAATCTTCAGCTAAAATAGTTTTTCCTTTTCATCAGAATGACCCATTGCCAGGACGCATCAAAGTTGATTTTGTGATTCCTAAAGAACTTCCCTTTGGAGACAAAGATACGAAATCCAAGGTGACCCTGCTGGAAGGCGACCATGTTAGGTTTAATATTTCAACAGACCGTCGTGACAAATTAGAACGAGCAACCAACATAGAAGTTCTATCAAATACATTTCAGTTCACTAATGAAGCCAGAGAAATGGTAAGTGTTGGATATTATTAGATACGTACCCAGTCTTGGAGGCGGCAGGGCAGTGTTACAGTCAAGTTTGTAATATGGTATTGAAAATTCTTTGAGTTTTGACGGTATTGGGCAATTACCTTATTAAGGTGATTGAGAACACAGACACTTGAGTCAATCTGGGTTTGACACTTAGCTCTGCCGGTTACCTTGAAATAGATGAGAGAAAATTTTAGAATTAAAATCTGGAGAGGATGGGCTTCCCTGGTGGCGCAGTGGTTGAGCGTCCGCCTGCCGATGCAGGGGACATGGGTTCATGCCCTGGTCTGGGAGAATCCCACATGCCACAGAGCGGCTAGGCCCTTGAGCCATGGCCGCTGAGCCTGCACGTCTGGAGCCTGTTCTCCGCAATGGGAGAGGCCACAACAGTGAGAGGCCCGCATACCGCAAAAAAAAAAAAAGAATCGTCTCTGTAATATGTAAATATGTAAGTCATTGGTGGGTTGATAATTGTATTTTAGTAAGTATTTGAGTACTTGCCATGTGCCAGTTACTCTGGATATAATGCCCTTACAGAGCTGATAATTGAGTATGAAGGGAAAAAACGAGGATAGAACTTCATATATTTTATTTTTCAAACCTAAGTCTTAAGTCCTCCTGTGCCTAAACTCACAAATTTTTGAGGTAGAGATTAGAACGTTGCCTTTAGTTGACTTCTGAGGTATTTGGAGTATTGTTCTGTAGATTTTTAATCTCTGGAAGTTACAGTGTCATAAAGCTTGGGCATTATTTGGAATCCTGGTTTTTGCCACTTACTAACTGTGTGCTTTGGGAAAATTGCTTAACCTCTTTCAACTTCAGTTTCCTCTTCTTGTAAAACAAAATTTTTCACAGAATTAAAAATTAAATGGAATATGTTATATGCATTTACTTCAAAAATGATCATTTTTCTAGTGCGTATTGGCCAAGAAGTAGCATCTGGGGAGTCTCAGGCAGTTGCTTAGAGATTAATTTACTTTATTGAAATCAATGAGTTTGTATTTAAGTGGAAAAATTAAAATGTGGGTACAAAATTTGGCTGTTTAATACAGAGGATTCCTAATGAATTTAACTTGATGATACTTCCAAACTTGAATGTTGTTGTCTTGACAATGTTCACAGCCAGTGAAAGTATTGTTTTGGTTTCAGGGTGTAATTGCTGCCATGAGAGATGGTTTTGGTTTCATCAAGTGTGTGGATCGTGATGCTCGTATGTTCTTCCACTTCAGTGAAATTCTGGATGGGAACCAGCTCCATATTGCAGATGAAGTAGAGTTTACTGTGGTTCCTGTGAGTAGTTTTTGAGAAAAGTATGGGAGGTTTTCTTGATCCTTCCTTTTTTGGTTTTAAAGTTACTTTTGTTTATCATTTGTAGGATATGCTCTCTGCCCAAAGAAATCATGCTATTAGGATTAAAAAACTTCCCAAGGGCACGGTTTCATTCCACTCCCATTCAGATCATCGTTTTCTGGGCACCGTAGAAAAAGAAGCCACTTTTTCCAATCCTAAAACCACTAGCCCAAATAAAGGCAAAGAAAAGGTGAGTTTGAATCAAAATGATTTTTGCAGTTCTTTATTCCTCTTCTGCTTAAAGGCAACCACTGTCCACACAATAATGGAGTATTGTCTCTTTCAGAATTCCCTATAGTATTAATAGTGAACTAATCTAAAGCAGAGTTTTTAATCTCATCAATATTAACATTTTAGGGGGCTTCCCTGGTGGCACAGTGGTTGAGAGTCTGCCTGCTGATGCAGGGGACACAGGTTCGTGTCCCGGTCCGGGAGGATCCCACATGCCGCGGAGCGGCTGGGCCCGTGAGCCGTGGCCGCTAAGCCTGTGCGTCCAGAGCCTGTGCTCCGCAACGGGAGAGGCCACGGCAGTGGGAGGGCCGCGTACCACAAAAAAAGAGAAACAAACAAACAAATCCCTTCTGAGTGAGGCTGCCCCTGGCCACCCCATTTAAAGTCCCAAACCTGCCACTTGGTACTTCCCCCAAAAAAAAAAAAAAAAAAAAATTAACATTTTGAGCTGGATAATTCTTTGAGTGGGAGGGGGTGGGGAGCTGTTCTTTGCATTTGGGGATGTTTAGCAGCATCCCTGGCCCACTAGAGGTCAGTATCTCTTCTTCCCATGTACAACAGCCAGGCATGTCTCCAGAATCTGCCAAATGTCCCCTAATCACCCCCAGTTTAGCATCACTCATCTAAAATGATAGTACTTGTCATCCAAGCAATTTAAAACTTTGAAATTTTGGTAGACTCAGTTCACACATTTGAACTCCATTTATTGAAAAATCCAGTAAATCCATAAATATGAAGCTATCCATAAGATGACCTCTGCTCTTAAGTAAATAACAAGAATTGTATAGAAACAGGTGATTCAAACAATGTTAAATACTGCTATAAAAGGTCAATGAGAGAGCTTTGGCAAAAATTCTAAACTGGCAGGATCTGGGATGGTTTCACTAAGGCATTGACATTTAATAGGTGGAGATAAATGAGGAAAGGATATTCCTCACTGAATAGAGGTACAGATGAGAAAAAATCAGGGTTTCTTTATAAAACACTAATTAGTTTGACAGGAAGATAGGGCTTCTTTTTCGGGGGGGGGGTGATTGCTGATTGGCCGTGAACATTATAGAATAGGCATGTTGTCAGTAAGCGCTCCCTCCTCAACATTAAAATTAGGTTAAGACTTTAAGACCAAATTAGGCAGACTGAGTCAGCCCTGGGTTAAATTAAGGCAAGACCATCTATTATTCATACGAAAAATACATATTTTAGAGAACCCTAGATACGAAATTTCTACAGCTATACCAGTTCTTTGGCTCAGGAGTCTGTAATAATTGCAGTTGTGCTTATATTGTTTTTTTGGTGGTGGTTCTTGATTCTTTTCATTGTTTTCTGACTATTTCTTTAGGAGGCTGAGGATGGTGTTATTGCTTATGATGATTGTGGGGTGAAATTGACTATTGCTTTTCAAGCCAAGGATGTGGAAGGATCTAATTCTCCTCAGATAGGAGACAAGGCAAGATAATTCTGCTTATTTGAGAGAGGGGGGAGGGTTAAAGGTTATCATCTTCATCATAAATCCTGAAAAATGGTTTCTTTAAATTTTATCAAGTTTTGCTAACATTCTTTTGTGCTTACAAGTTTAATATATGAACATCTTCCTATTTAAAAGCAGCTTATTCAATAAGAACAGGGTCTAGCAAGCTTCTTGTTAAAGCTTTTTGAGGAGTTAGTATTTAAGCATTAGATATGTCAAAAGCAGTTATCTTATATAAAATTAATGATATCGGTAAGAAAGTTAAAACAGTCACTGAAGGGCTTCCCTGGTGGCGCAGTGGTTGGGAGTCCGCCTGCCGATGCAGGGGACACGGGTTCGTGCCCGGGTCTGGGAAGATC